AATCCCCTCCATGCATCATCCAGTAACCACAGGCCCACCCCCCTGGCTGTCAGCACACAGCCCCTCTCCCTCCCTGAATCCCATGTCCCCAGCCATTCCATCTGTCCACATCATCATCTCTGTTTCCATGCCTGGCTTCACTGCTTCTCTGGGTAGGGTCCTGCATGCTGCTCTTGTCACTTGATGGCCACAGGGACTCCCACTCCTGGGCTGCAAAATTAACCACTCCTCTCCTTTTGTCAAAAAACATCTACCTCTACATTTCCAACCCTTACACTCAACCTGATAGCAGTTATTCACTATTGTACCACAAGAATCTTATCCCCATTTCCTTTCACCAGCCCGGTCCCAACAGATTAAAAATCATCCAGTGGAGGATCTACCTACCCCCACCCTGTCTGGAACTAGACTCTCTCTTGAAAGTTTGTAAGCCAGTCACTTCTTGTCTTTATAGCCCCCCACCCCATTTTGGGTAACCAATGTCTAAGTAGCTGTCTTGTCAACCCTTTGTACCGAGGGGGTGGGAGTGATCCTGCTGTAAAGATTTGTTCCCTTTTTTGAGCTCCTGCATCCATACGTATGGGTCAAGTTCATCAGCTTGTAGTGGGATACTCTTCTCTTTTTTCTTTCCTCTCTCTCTTTTTTCTTCTTCTAATCAAGTTCTGATCATCCAGCCATTGAAGCCAGGTCAAGTGGGTACTATCTGCAAGTATGGGTGTTCTTGTGCATCTCCCCTCCCTTCATATCAGCTGGACGCTTGATTCTCCGTTCTAGTCCTCTGTGGCCATGTCACTGCCTCTGGGCCCAGGAGTCCCTGGGTCTTGCTGTAACTGCTGGCCATCCAGGTGTCCACCTGGGTTCACAGGAGTCTACTGAATGTGGTTGGACTTAGATCCCAACTTCATTGCTGTTTTTTTCCCCTCTTCCTCTTATTGATGACCAACGTGCTCACCAGCCAGACCACCTGTCTGCTCATGTAGTCCCCTTGAGTCTTAGTCTTAGAAGGGAGTTTGCTCTGAGGGGACCCAACCACTTGCCTTGATGGCTCCCAGGCGAACAGCTTACTTGTTCTTGTAGTAATCAGTCATACTGCCATTATTGTTTCTGATTTTCCCTGCTGGTCTTTCTTCATGAAGTAGCTTCTGTTCTTCTAACCACTCCAGGCTGGTCTACTCATCCTTTCCAGTGGAAATCTCCCACCTCAGACAATTCTGGATGGGATTCTGGTTTCCACCTATGGTCTTGTGCAATGCAAAAGCTCCACAGGATATCTCTTCCACTAGGCAATTTCTAGCCCCCTTTAAGGTAATCCAATCAGTTATAGGCTGAAGACGGACTTACAAGCTTTCTGTAGGGATGATTCTGGCTATTCTTACAGCCCTCCCCCAAGTGTCTATTTTACAATGGTAGGCAAGGGAAACCAAGATTCAAAAGACAGCCAAGTATCTTACCATTATTCCCCTCTTTACCCCTTCAAACCATGCCTCAATCCCTGTATCCCGGAGCCCTGTTATTCCAAGGCTGTGCATACATAATCATTTACCTCTGTCCCACGTTACTCCCGTTTTTCTTACAAAACTTCTATCTTTACAGTGTGACGATCGCAATTAGTCATGATACCATCTACTCACTATTGAATCATAAAACTCTTACCTCCATCTCTTTTCACCAGACCCATCTAGACAAGATGAAAACTATTCAGTGGGGACTCTCGATCTTCCCCCACATACTCTGAAACTAAATCCCCTCTTGAAAATGTGTAAGGCAGTCACTTCGTGCCTTTATCGCCCCTTCATTTTAGATAGCCAATGTCTAAGTTCTGCATACAGAGAGGGTAGGATGAAGACTTCTTCCCTCTCAGTTGGTATTTTGAGCTACTGCATCCATAAGTATAGGTCAAGTTCATCAAATTATAGCAATTTACACTTGCTTCCTTTATCAAAAATTTTAATCTTTTTAGTGGAGTTGTGATCTTCAAGCCATCGAAGCTAGGTCAAATGGGTACTGAAGGTTTGGGCGTTCTTGTGTGTCTCCCCTCACTTCACATCAGCTGGATGCTCCATCCATTTCTTTCTGATACAGTGACTCTGTGGATCCCTTTCATCTAATTTGGATGCTCTCTGCCTCATCCTATATTCTGCCCATAGAATCCTTCATTGTGGCAAGTCGAGGCTTGACTTTTTTTTTTTCCAGTCTTTCCAGCTTGAGAAATGCCGAGCATGTTTTTCCCTTTTGGTTTTCTACCTCCAGGTCCTTGCACATTTTAACGGAATACTATACAACAGTAAAAAACAAAGATGAATGTGCGAAACACCTCATAACACGGATGCGCCTGGAGGCCATTGTCCTGCAGGCCACAAAAGGACAAATATTGTATGAGGCCACTAGTGTCACAAGTTAACAAAAGCCACAAAAGATTTTCACACTGAAAGAGACAGTCTTTGATGTTCACCTGAGGAGGAGAGCTTGGGACGCTGGTTTGAGGGCAGACGTGTCAAGTTGGGTGAAGGGGATTAAAAACAAAACAGAACAAAGGCAGTTGGTCCCGGGCAGGTCAGCCAGGACTGAATTCTATAGCTGGCCCTTCTCCTTGGCCCCAACCCGGGGTGATGGTGAGGGTTTCTCAGACATAGTTTGGGGTGTCATTCCCCCACCCTACTGCCTCCTGAGAGCCCCAATCAAAGGCTCCACCCTGCCTACTCACTCACGTGGGTCCATTCCTGCTGAACCCACACATTACTGAGTGCTCAGCCTTCTGGTCATTCACACGCCCATGCTGGCAGCCCCACCCAGGACCGGAGGTCGGATTCTTGCTCTGAAGAAGGCAGATGTTCTCCCTGCCTTGGGCTGGTCCCTGTGGACAAACCTCACACCCACTGTGCTTTGGGGTTGCCCCCATTCCAGCCTCATGTCCCAGAGGAACACACGTGAACCCTCTGAGGTGGGCCCAGCCCCCTGTCCCTGGGGGTCCCAAGGTGACAGGCAGTGGCCCAGGGAGACTGTCCCCTGAACTGTGGGCACAGTGTGGGCATTCAGAAGAATCCTGGGGCCAGGCTTGCAAGGATCTTTGGGGGCGGTAAGGGGCAGTTCCTCCTTGGGGCACTGTGAGAACAAAGCCCCAAACAAGGGCCAGCTGCAGCCCCTCCTACCCATGCCCTCCTCACCTCCAGATCTTGGTGCTGGAATATTCCAGTGCTAGTGTGCCTCGGTGGGAGGGCCTCCCTCCACAGGCCCCCTCCTGGACTCTGGGCAGTGCCTGGCCCACCTGCCTGGGGTCAGGAAGCCGACACCATGCTCACTCTGTCCTACCTGCTGGCCCGTTCAGTCAGTGGCATCCTGCTCTCCCCCAGGCGGCATAGCCAGGTAATGGGCAGAGCTAGGTCCAGGCCTCAGGTCCAGGGGTGGGGTACCTCTGGAGCTAGTGTGTGGTGGGGCCACATCTTCTCCTGGAAGTCCAGGTGCTCAGCTGGGGTTGGCCAGGAGAGGAGGATTTAGACAGCTCCATGGCCCTAAGGGGAGGGGAGGCTTCCAAGTTTGTGCTTTCTGGGTGCGGATTGGGAATGGGCCTAAGGAATACTGGCAGAGACCCCACCTCCCTTCTTACAGCTGAGAACTGAGGCCCAGAGTTGGGAGGGTGCCTCAGCCCACGTGGCTCCCAAATCTGCTCTGTCCACACGCCTAGGTCTGGAGTGGGACATCTGGGCTCCTCTGAGCCTCGGGTTTTGAAGCGGGGTTGTGGGCTTTGGGGGATCTAGGAGGATCCAAAGAGTTGGAGCTTGGTAGGGGGTTATAGTTTGACTTTACACTTGTTTTAAGGCGGGCCCAGGCTCTCTTGGAGACTTTGTCGACTTGGGACTGTATCCTGGACTGGTGTGTGGGTGCATGTGTGAGCGTGTGAGTGTGAGCATTTGGCACGTGCATATGTGCTGCATGTGTGTGAACATGTACGTTAGTGTGTGTGCATGTGTGAGCATATATTGCATGTGGGCACCTGCACTCGGGCATGTGTGTGGCCACTCACATATGTGTGCCTATACGTGCAAACGTGTGCACACAGATCATGTGAGCATGTTGCATGTGTGTGCAAACAGGCGTGTGGGTTTGCTGATGTGTGTAAAATACATTTGTATATGGGGGTGTGTACGTGTGTTTAGACACCTGAGCATGGGTGTGTGCTAATATGTGTGTAACACACACATGTATGTGTGCATGAGTTCAGACACATGTATATGTATGTACACACATGTGCGTGTGTGTACATGTGTGTGAATCTATGGCGGGGGGTCTCCCCTAGACAAGTGTGGCAATCCCACTTCAAAATAGCAGTCTGTGTAGGTGTGGCCCCAGCTCCAGGCTCTTAAGGACTACTGGGTGCTCCCAGGAGGTGGGTGTGGGCAGCTGGTGAGCTGTGGATGACCCACCCAGGGCAAAGGTCACGAGCTGCCACCAAGCAGATGGCTGTGGTAGGTGGTAGGGGTGCCAGGTCTGGGGGGAAGAATGGGGGGATCTTTCTGCTCCAAACATTCTGGAACACCAATTTTCTTCCCCCAGTGGACACTGGGGGGGTGGGGTGACGAGGCCCCCAACCAACCCCGACACGGCTGCCAACCCTGACATGAGCTGTCACTCCATGGGGTGGTGGTGGGGTCCGCTGAGAGTTTGGGGGTATGCCTCCTGGCCTCCGCCCCCTGGTACCTCTAGCCACCTGCCTGGGAGGTGAGGGGACGGGTGGGGTGGATGTTGACTGAGTCTGGACCCTGGGCTCCTGCCTTTGGAAAGACAATATCACCCACCGCACCCCCCATACACACACACACACACACACACCAACTCCAGGCCGCTCTTGGGAAGAAGGGGCTTGGAGTGTGGGTGTGCAGGGTCAGTCCTCTGTCCACGGGAAGGCTGGAGGGGCAGCTGGTCAGCTGGTGGGGACACTGAGCTCAGCTGTCTGTGGCCAGGGGGTCGGGACCTCACTGTGACCCACCCCCACCCCCCCGCAGGAGTTTGAGAATGCCGAAGGTGATGAGTACGCAGCTAGCTTCTCGGCTCATGGCTCCCCGGCAGCCGCTGCTCGGGGGGGCCCTGACGTGTATATCTTACCGCTGGCTGAGGTTTCACTGCCTGCTGCCAAGCAGCCGGGCCGTTCAGGTGGGTAGGGCCCCCAGGTGGTCTCTGGGGGGAGGCCAGGGCCCCTAGGGTAGAGGCTGCCACCCTCCTTCTTTTAGCCAGCAACCCCCACCCTGGGGTCCATGTGATTACACCCCAGACCCAGGGTATATGGAGCTATTCCCCCCGTCCCAAGGTTATCTGGGGCCAGATTGTGGTCTTGGATCAGCCTCCCGTATGCAGTATAGATCTGCTGTCCCTGAATGCTTAACCCCAGATTGCCACCACTTGGTGCCCGACCTCTGGGAACACTAGAGGGACATGGAACCCATTGTGTGGCTGGGCGGGGCCTGCCCACATGGGGGACAGGGGGAGGGGGTTCTCTGTGCTCTGAGAAGTGGCCTTTCTCTCCGGCTCCCCAGACAGGCCCCTCCGCCAGCTGTGTCCTTTTCCCCAAATCCTACAGCTGCCCCTGGCCCCCGCCCCCCGCCTTGATGCAGGAGCCCCATTCTGACCAGGAGTGTGGGAGGAGGTCCCCGCTCCCTGGATAGCTCTAGTCAAGGGCATCTGGCCCTGCCTCACTGCCCCCTCCCAGTTCCTCCTGGGATCTAGAGGAAGGGGATGTTGGGCCAGGGGTTGAGCCAAAGCCCGTAACCATGACAACAGCATGCCCCACACGGCCCACTATCACAGGTCCACCCCAAGACCCCAGCCTTCATCATGGACTCGGACCCATTGGTCAGGCAGCACTCGGGCCTAGCAACACCTGCCCATCTGCCCACTGAGCTGAGGGTCGAGGGTGGGGTCTTTGTTCCTGAAGCCCTACTTGGCTTCCTGGGTGACATGGGCTCAAGTTCTGTGCTGAACATTGGGAGCTGGGGGGCGAGAGGCCACCCTAGGGGGCCCCACCCACCACAGACTCTGAGACCTAGCTTCCTCTGTCTCTCAGGACTGTCCCCAGGAACAGGGGCCCACAGGGACTCAGCCCCCATTGCTCATTTTCTTGGTCTTTGCTGTTCTGACCTCAGTGTTCCGGGGATACTTTGCTTCCTAAGAGGGAGATACCCAGGTTGTCCCCCACCTCCACATCTGCCAAGAACCCAGATCCAGAAAGGAAGGTTCAGATAGGACGAAGGTCCCAATCCTGCTGGACTTCCACCTGGCCATTCCCTGGGCCTCTAGTCTCTGGGCCAGCGCCCCACCCCCCTGCTCTCTGGGTTCCATCCCAGTGGCTTTGAGCCCCTGCCCCATGGCCCTCTAGGCAGCTGGCGTGGGAGCAGAATTCAGGGAATCCTGCGGGGCACAGGCAGGGGCGTGGGTGAGCTCAGCCACTCCACTCAGCCTTGCTGACCCTTCCTTCACTGACCTCAGCCAGCCGGCTCGCGGGCAGAAAGGGCCCAGTGTGTCCACACAGCCGTGCCAAGCAGTCCCCAACAAAGGGCTCTTTGGTGCTTGGCCACTGGAATGCCAGGCTGTGGCAGGGGTGAGGGGACAACTCACTCCAGCCCCACCCCCAACTGTGCCATCAGCCTCTGGCCCAGCCCCTCTCCCCACCCAGCATCACCCAGCCCCAAGGTCTCCTGCCTTGGCTGGCCCCTGAGGCTCAGACACTGCTCCCAGACCTACCCAGAAAGATGCCCAGCAGGACCCTACAGCACCTGGCCTCCTGGGCACAACCCTCCTTCCAGAGGCCCTGGTTGCTGACAGGAGCCCCCAGGTGTGGCCTCGGCTATTCCCCAGGGCCACTTCTTCGAGGGGCTGGGGAAGGGCCCAGAGATTGCGTAGGTCCTGAACTCCCCATCCCGGTACAGTGCAGCTCCTCAAGCCTACGGACCTGGGCCGCCACAGCCTGCTGTACCTCAAGGAGATTGGCCATGGCTGGTTTGGGAAGGTGAGTGGGGCAGGGCTCGGGAGTACCACCTCAGCTCTGGGAGCCACTCTGCAGGCCCAGGTGTCCCAGCCGGGGCACCTGTCATCAAGGTTGGGGTTGGTGCAGGGACAACACCTTGGCAGGCCCCTGGGTCCCTCTTGCTCACCACAGAACTCCAGAGAGCGGGGAAGGCTGAGGAGCTTAGTGGTGGTAATCCCAAAGACATGAATATTACAATTATTATCAAGGGAGGGATTCAGTGCCAGTCTGCAAACAAGTAAACTGAGGCAGAGAGCAATAAGGGACTTGTGGGGCTTGAGGGCCTGAGTGGCTAAGGTGCCCACCTGCCGCAGGTGTTCCTGGGGGAGGTGAACTCGGGCGTCAGCAGCAGCCAGGTGGTGGTTAAGGAGCTCAAAGCCAGTGCAAGTGTGCAAGAACAGATACACTTCCTGGAGGAGGTGCAGCCTTACAGGTGGGCCATGGCAGTGGGGCTGGGACCACGCCCAGGGGGACAAAGGGGGATGGTCCAGCGGCAACCTGTGGGGGTGGGTGCCAGCCAGCTGCGAGGGGTTGGGTGAGGTGACCCCTACAAACAAAGGCTAGTTCAGTGCTGCCCACCCTGGCTCCTCCCCAGGGGTAGGGGCCGCCCCCTCTGCCCTTCACCCTTGTCCACTTGTGCATCCGGCGCTGTCCCTTCTGCAGGGCCCTGCAGCATAGTAACCTGCTCCCGTGTCTGGCGCAGTGTGCAGAAGTGACACCCTACCTGCTGGTGATGGAGTTCTGTCCGTTGGTGAGTAGGGGCACCTAAGGGGTGGAGTGCACCCACCGCCCCCTACAGGCACCCCTACTCTGAAGTCCCTGTGGGAGACTCCCCGGGATGGGGCCTTACCTGGGCTCAGCTCCCCGCTCTGCCCTACCATTGATAACCTCGACCTGTGGGTCTCACACCCCAGAGAGGACTGCTGGGCTGCATCATCTCCAGAGGCAGCCTGGGGCCAGCCTCACCAGGAAGGGCAGCTCTTTGGGGCAGTTTTCTGCGTGGGAGGGTATTCCGGGCACCAAGAGCATCAGGTCCCTCACCTTTCATGCAGCTACTTCCGAGAGCTGACTCCAGGTCCTGTGATCAGCCGGGGAAACCCAGCTCTACTAGTGGGCTGCCCTCTGGGCCCTAGGCCGGCTGCTTTGGGCTCCTCCTGGATGTAGTGGTCACCTCGAGGGAGGTTCCCAGGAATCTGGCCCCTGCGCCTTCTGGAACCTCAATTTGTGTGCAGATGGCCTCAGTTCTCAATTCAGCTCTTGGGCTCTCACCTGTACAATAGGACACTACTGACCCCACGGGTCTGCCGGGGACAGTGGGGTGGTTTGGAAAAAGTATTCTAGACTAGTGAGGGTGCCATGATGGGGTTCCTAGCCTGTAATGGGGGCAGAGAGTCCCTCGCCAGGAATAGTGCCCTTGTGGGCAGCTGTAGCTACAGCCATTAGCCAGGTGGGCTGGGCAGGAGGAGCCGGGGAGGTGGGTGGCTGGGAGCATAGGTCCTTCCTCTAGCTGACTGTGATGGGCTTGCTCCTCTCCGCAGGGGGACCTCAAGGGTTACCTGAGGAGCTGCCGGGTAGCGGAGTCCGTGGCACCTGACCCGCTGACCCTGCAGCGCATGGCCTGTGAGGTGGCCTGCGGGGTCCTGCACCTGCATTACCACAACTACGTGCACAGGTGAGGACAGTACAGGGCCAGTGTACTGTCTTGTGACAACTCTGGAAAGGTTTTTGTCACATAAAAGAAATGGGGGAGGAGGCACCACGGAGGATGGTTGGCTGGAGTCCACCCACTTGGCCTGAAGGCAGTCGGCTGTCCTCTGCCCCAAGGTGGCCAGCTGCCTCCGTGGGTCCACTCTGGCCCTGCTGCTGGAGAAACAGGAAGGGTCCCGTATTGTGGGGAAGGGCTGGCTCTGTCCAGCTCTCAGCCCTGGCCCCTGACTACGGCCCAGTCCCTGGAGCGCAGGGGTCGCGCTGGAAGAGGTGTGAAGGATGAGTGGCCGGATTGTCCCCGACGCCGCACGGGCCGTCCTCGCCAACAATATCCTGGTGCTGAGTGATAACACCCGCAACTCCAGCATCAGTGATTTTGTTGAAGAGGGCAGCTGCCAGCCTCCGCCGCCGCCGGCCCGCCCCGCCGCCTGCACCCCTCCCGCCGCTGGGCCCCGCCCCGAGCTGTCACCTCCTCCCGCAGCCAGGCCCCGCCCCGAGCTGTCACCTCCTCCCGCAGCCAGGCCCCGCCCCATCCGGCGTCAAGGCCCCGCCCCGAGCTGTCACCGCCCCCGATTAGGCCAACTGCCCTGGACCAACTGCGACGCCCCTCCCGCCCACATCGGTTTCACCCAGCGGTCTGCACCCTGGTCTGGTGCAGCCCACCACCCAACCGAGGCAGCCCACTACCCAACAGCCCTGGTTCCCTGTGCCCCCAAACACCCAGGGCCAACAGGCAGGCAGGGTCTTAAGCCGTAGCCACTAGAAGAGACAGACCGTGCTCTTCAGCTGCCCTCTGCCCTGCGGGAGGGTGGCCAGGGTGAACAGAGCAGGAGCCAGGCCCTGAACACAGCCTCTGGACACGGGCTTCGGTTTCCCAGTGGACTCCTGCCTTTGAGTCACGGGTAATGGTGTAGTGGGGCAGGAGATGTTTCCTGAAGGAAAATGCTGCCCACACGCAGGTCCTGCCTTCCTCTGGCCTGGACCAGGTCACAGACTGGTGGCCCCGGAGAAGACGGTTTCCCGTGGGAGTCAGGGATCTGGGGGTGAGATGGGGTCCAGTACAGGTTTGTTGAGCCTTTGCCAGTTGGAGGCCCCACCTAAGCTGACTTTCCACACCCAGGGCTGATGGATGGGATGGTGGGCAGCAGGCTCAGATATACTTCCTGCTTCCCTGTCGTCCTGGCCACTGACCTGCCCCTTCCCCCCAGTGACCTGGCCCTGAGGAATTGCCTGCTCTCCGCAGACCTCACGGTGAAGATTGGCGATTATGGCTTGTCTCACTGCAAGTACAGAGTGAGTGGGGGCTGTACTAGGGGCTGCTTGGGCATGGGCCTCTGGCCAAGAGCTGACCGGGTGCCCCTGCAGGAAGACTACTTCGTGACGGCTGACCAGCTGTGGGTGTCACTGCGCTGGATTGCACCTGAGCTGGTGGACGAGGTCCACAGCAACCTGTTGGTTGTGGACCAGACCAAGGCCAGCAACGTGTGGTGAGCGGCCAGCAGGGGCAGGATGGTGAGGGGCAGCTGGGGGTACGGTGATGAGAGCCCGAAGAACAGCTCTGGGGAGGTGCCACCCAGGAACCCTTGAGCTAACACCCACAGCATCAGGGTCAAAGCATCCCTTTGGTCCTCACACTCCACAGTGGACAGCAGTAGGAAGCACACACACTGGACAGCAGCAGACAGCACGCTCTCACAGTGGACAGCAGACAGCACGCTCTCA